GTGTGTGTGTGTGCGCGCGCGCGTGTGTGTGTGTGTGTGTGTGTGCGCGTGTGCGTGTGTGTGTGTGCGTGTGTGTGTACATGCATGCGTGTGCGTTAGCACATTGCACGAATCATATGTACTAAAAGCTAATAAAATAATAACTTGTGTGTGTAATAGCTTGTCAGGCTCTGACGTTGGCGGTCATTTGCCAGACTCTGAATTTGATCAGGGCCACCTGTGTCCTCACTCCTGCTTTTGATGTCTCTAATGTAAGGTTCAGCAATGGTTTAATTGCCTTTGTCTTCATCACTAGCAGTATATGTATTAGATATGTGATGAATGGGTACTTCATGACTAATCTGGTTATAGTAACGTGACCTGCCAGCTCCTTACTTTGGGTCTCTTCTAATTTACCCGCGAATTCATCAAGCACCTGTTTCACTAGCTTTACCGTGGTATTGGATGCTACACATGTGTTATATAATCTGCATGTATAGCGACAACCGGCAACAACCCGGGTAAAGTTCCTTTGCTCGAGGGAACAACGTTAGTGACTCATGCAGGTGGGCCCCAGCCTTCTCAGCACCAAGTTTCGCTAAAATTTAACCCAGAGTAACAACAAAATGGCGTATCGTCTCTTAATGTCATTGGCGCTTGTCGCGTTACGAGGGCGCGAACAAATTTGCAGCTTGACAGTAACTATTAACTACCATTTGGCGTATCTGTCAAAACAGAAGACTGCACCCATAGCGCAGGCAATTAGTTCTGTCCCACTGCCGACGTACGTCACGGCGTTAGAATTAATGAACGAGGGAATTGCATTCTCGACTAATATATAATAACATTTGAAGATATTGAGGTCGTTCGAACGTCTAGGACAGAGATGCTTGAAACATGTTCGATGGGTTTGTAGCACGACGCATATCTCTCACAATCTATTCCAGGATATCGGAGATTGGGCGAGTTAGAGAATCTCACTGCATTTAAAGTTGAGATTAGATTCAGCTTTGAACGGGACAGTTGCGCTATTGCATGTCCATATCAAATGTAATTTACATTTTAACTTCGTTATGACTTCATCTTTGGTGGAATAATCTACAGTGTCGCATTTACGAGTTGCTCTGAATTCGATCAATATAAGAAATTACGTCGACCAGACGACTGCAATGATGAATCATGACCTACATCAAGTAACATGGTTGATCGTACTCTCTCAATTTCTTCTCGGATGTAGAACAAGCCTGCTGCATACGTTATCAACAGGCAGCGATGCGAATATGTCTGCGTATAGACGAACGCACGCATTTGCACTCGCCACACGCACATGCAAACCGCACACACGCACGCGCGCACGCGCGCACGCACGCGCACATACACGTACGCAGACACCGCACACTTGCACAGAAACCCACACACGCATGCACGCACGCGCGCACGCACGCACACACACACACACACACACACACACACACACACACACACACACACACACTCACACGCCCACACACATGTATATTTACATATATACATATATATTGCAAACACTCAGGGATTTCTAGCTTGGCGTGTGAAGCCTACGTGCACTATATGCTAGCCTATAACACGAGTCACGTTTAATGACCGCGCGAATTTCAAAAAACCAGTTCAACTAGAACAAAAGAAAAACTGTTGCACAACGGCTCCATGAATAAGTCCGTCAATCCTGTGTATATAGCCGGAACAACTTCTGTGACTGCTACTTACGTCAGAATTAACAATAACTGTCGAGTTATAACTACCATCACGATTTTTGTTAGATGTAATATATTATTTGATGTAATAGTTATACTCTCAGGTACACAATCGCCGTACGTGCCAGGGCAGATTATAGAGCAGTTCGTCGATTGACCGCTAGGAAGCGCGGCGGTTTGGTGACATCATCGCGCGCGTGCGTATATTATTTAACATCGCCGACTGTACACTCCATAGATATCGCCGACGCGAAAAACGCATATATATATATATACACTACACTGTCAGCATTTTAAGTCCTTTCGCCAACTATCTGCTATATACGCAATAGCGTCGCCTGTGATATTGCCACTCGAATAGACAAGCTCATGCCACGCACGCGCTGCATGGTGTTATTAGTTAGAATGTAATATTACTGCGTTTACGGACTAACTCGTTCACGCTTTAGCCGTTCGTCGCCGCTGCCACGTGTCTGGAACTTTCGATCGCCATAAGCGTTACAATTACGGATACGGACTGTTGACCGGCTGACGGCGATGTGACGTCTGAGATGTGTGCATGGACACGGTAGTAGTTAGGCGACCCGCTAGACCATACCGGATCTACGGTGACGGATGCTGCGTGAGGCCTCGCGAAAACTTGGATGGGCAGTGGCGTAATAACGCAGCATCTACCCACCTACTTATCTTAGCCTACTATCCTACGCTACTACCTACCTACTACCTACCTACCTACAACGCGTAGCTACGCTACTACGTCTAGCATAGCTGCTTACTACCTACTACCTCGCTACTAACCTAACCTAGCTACCTACCTACCTACCATAACCGACCGACGCGACGCGACAGAGACGACGGCGGACGACCCGACGACCGACGGACCGACGCCGACCGACGCGGACGGGGAACCGACGACCGACCGGACCGCCGACCGACCGGACGCCGCGACGGGCGACGACGCCGCGACGACGACGACGAGCGCGACCGACCGACGGACCGACGAGCGGACGCGACGACGACCGACCGAGACGACGACGACGACGCGACCGCGACGGCGACGACGGCGAGCGCGACCGACGACGCGACGCGACGCGAACGCGACCGAACGACGGACGGACCGACGACCGACCGACGCGGGACCGACCGACCGACGACAGACGACCACGACCGAGCCGACGACCGACGCGAACCGCGACCGACGACCGACCGACCTCGACGCGACCGACGCGGACCGACCGACGACCGACCGGGACCGACCGCGACACGGGACGACCGGGACCGACGCGACCGAACGCGACCGACCGCGCGACCGCGACGCCGGACCGACTCGAGCGACGACGGACCGACGCGGACCGACGGCGATCCGGGAACGACCGAGACGACCGACCGACGACGACCGACCGACCGACGACCGACCGCCGACCTACTACCTACCTACCTACCGTACGTACATACCTACTACGTACCTACCTTACACTACCTACCTACCTACCTACCTAGCCTACCTACCTACCTACCTACCTACGATACCTACCTTACCTACCTACGTACCTACTCTACCTAACTCCCTACGTACCTACCTACCTACCTACCTGTCTTACTTACCTGTACTACCCATCTCCTCTGCACACATACCAATCACACCACACAGACCACACACCACACAGCACACACACAACACACACACACACACACACAACACACTAGTCACACACGCCACACACAACACACACACGCACACACACACGGTCCCAACACACAACCATGGCGCACACACCACACCACAGTCCCACCCCACACAGCCACACACACACATCAACCCACACACCACACAACAGCACAGCGACAGTGACACAGTGACCACACACACACACACACACACACACACACACACACAAGCACACACACACACACACACACACACACACACACAGCCAGTCACACACAACGAGCACAGCACACACACACACACACACACACACACGCACCACGCACACAATACATCAGTTGCGGCTCTCGTTCCTCTCAACTCTCTCTCCTCTTCTCTCTCTCTCTCTCTCTCTCGTCTCTGCTCTCTTCATCTTCCTCTCTTCTCTCTCTCTTTCTCTCTCCGCACCACTCTTACTCTCTCGCTTCTGATTGCATTACGTGAATCGCTCCCGAAAAGTTAACCGCATTATTCTTAACTGAATTTAGTACTCGCGTTTCCCGATAACCTATATCGAGCATTTTTACGGAGCGACTAAAAGCGTGCCTCGCGTCCACGATGCACTTCCCGCGCGTCATTTTATAGGGCGTCTCTATATATATATCAGTGTGCGCTAGCGTGCGCGCGGTGTACATGTGTGTTGCAGAGGAGCATTTGCACAACATTTACAGGAAATTTTCGTCAATAATAGGCGAAAGAGAGTAGAGAAACATTAAGACTTTGGTAGTAAATAGATTTCGTATTTATTTAGCATTATATTTTATTGAAACGCTCCAAGTGCCTGTGATTCTATAGGGCATCGACGCCCAGCTCTTTGTAGTGGAAACGTTTGGAATGGTATATATGAATCGTCGCCCGCCCGCGTCGTGCAGGAATCTCGCAAACATCGTAATGATAGCATTGCTTGGCGAGACAGCGCGGGCTATCGTCGTGATACCTAGTCTGAAAAGCGAATACGAGCGCGAGCGCGCGCGCGCGTCGCCGCGCTAGTCTCCCACCTCGGCAGGATTGGCGAAACTCAATTTCCTGCCGATCGCCGGAGAGGACGTGTGTGCGACGTCGCGCGGTCGGTTGTGCTTAAGCACGCAATTTCGAATTCACAAAACGGCACGGGGCGAGCGGACGGAATTCACCGAGTCAAGCGGGACGGCGATAATTGGCTTTGGCTGTTGGCGGGAATTTTTCTATGCGTTTATGAACGCCGATGGTGGACCTTGACGTTTTGTAATCGAAGTTGTAAGAGCCACGGCGGCTGCGTAGCTTGTATAGCGCTGTTATTTCTAAAGCGAGCGGGATCAAACTTTTCAGGTATGTTTTGTCTGTATTGTATAATTGTGCGTCGTTATAGACGCAGTATGCACCCCCCGAATTTTATCGCACTATCGAGAACACGCATGGTCCTTGGACAGGATACAAGCTGGAATAGCGAATATATTTGCTTAGAATCTAAATGTACGAACGTACACACGACGCGTCAATTCGCACGCGCTAATATTGACCGAGTTAACTGCGGCGATATGGATGAAGTCTAACCGTCGGAGCGTAACGCGTAATTTAATCATGCGCCATATTGACTGCAGGTGTAGGAAGCGGCCTAGGAACGGGCATTTACGTCATTGCCGGTCACGTGGCACGCGAGGACGCCGGTCCGGCGACTGCGCTCTCGTTCCTCATCGCCGGAGTGTCCGCCATCTTAGCTGGTAAGTGACACACACACTGTGAGACACAGTGAATCTCAGTCTCTTTCTTTCCGGCCGGCTCTTATGCAGGCAGCCCCCGAAGGACGGCGGCCAGTAAATCGCATCGCCGATTCACCGTTAAGCGGAAATTGTTCATTGCGACGGAGGATCCCCCGGAGGATCGCAATTGAATAACTACTTCAATCGCCGTAAAATATAATCATCGTTTCGCGTGATATCCAATTTATGGCCTTTTGCGGTTAGCCTAATGGTCCGTGCCTAACGCACGAGCGTTTGACACGGAACTTCTGGTCGAATTAGCTGTAGGCACGCGAGATCTCGAACGAGGCGAGCGCTTGGCCGGAAAGCCAAGGCGCCTTCGTTTCTTGTCAGCCGCACGGAAAAGTGTAATCGCGTTAAGTTCTCGCTAACGATAGAGAAGCTGAACAATGGCAACGTGTTGAGTACGTGTTCAAGGCAGCACGCAAGTGTGGAGCTAACGCAATGAATGACGATGTAACTATTATTACGTGCTATTACGAAGCTACTGCGAAGAATGCATGACTATCCTAAACTACTGTTAGAGCGAGACAAGCAACCGCGGAAGTACCACTTTGTAACTATCAGTGTACGCTAGTACAGCATACTACCAGTACGCCCAACCACGGAACTACCACAATAAATTACGATATAACTGTCACTACACGTAGCTACGGACTTGCTACTAGACGTAGCTCCAGGTTACAAGTTAGTGACGAGTTACTACCGCACGCGGTCTGACTGCTATCCGTTAGCGATCACCCCGCGACACGGACCTATACGATCAGGAATGTATAATATAGATCTTATTAAGATAATTCAAGATCATCTAATTAAGATAATTAAGATATATTAAGATTAGATCTGATTAGATCTCTATATATATCTATATTATACACTCCTGATACGATAATATCGACGACCAGCTCTATCTAACGGTCGGGGTTTTTTCTCCATCACGCTTCAGCGCTCTGCTACGCCGAGTTCACGGCCAGAGTGCCGAAGGCGGGCAGCGCCTACGTGTTCACCTACATAGCACTCGGTGAGCTTCTCGCCTTCGCCGTCGGCTGGACTCTCATCCTCGAGAGCATCCTCGGCACGGCCGTCGTCGGTAAGGCGTGGAGCCAGCATCTCGACGTGATGCTAGTCGCCGCCACCGTCGGCGACGACGACGGCGGCGTCGGCGGCGTCGGCGGCGTGCTTGCTAACGCCACGAGCGCCCTCACCGTACCGCTGCTCGGCACGCATCCCGACCTGGTGGCGTTCGGCGTCGTCTGGCTGATGTCTCTCGTCGTGCTCGCGGGAACGAAGGTAAGCGTGACGTCATCGCTTCGACGTCGTATCACAGTGAGGTCATATCGTCGGATCGTCGCGATGGACGCGCGTGCCGAGTTTTTGATGGCGCATTCTATCAACCTTACCAGCGGACTAACCCCCTACTGTAGCATTTACTGTGAAAGCAGCTGCGGGGCCTCAGGGTTACTGAAACGGAGATAGGCACTGCCCTATGCGCCACATAGGCGCGGGAAGGATTTAACTCAACTTTTAACTATTCTATCAATTAGTAATTAGTAGACGCATGCGTGAAATTATATACGATTAACGTCTGAGCTGTTATGTATGAATGTATGTGTACACGAGTCACCAGTGTGCTGTACTATTATAAGTACGTCGCGGAGAGAGCGGCTATTTCATTTCACGTATTTTGAGATGTTAATAACACGCTTTGTTTCATTCTCTCGTCCGCGACAGCGGGAGGAAAATACCAAGAAACAATTAGTACACGGCTAATTGCCGGTCTCCGTCAAAGCGCGTCTTTCTTTATCTTTCCCGTTGCACACGGTAATAACGTGGTCCCATTACGGTTCCACTTTTTTTACTCTATTGCTATATTAATACAATAGTGAAACACAGCTGCAGCGTGGCGTTCACGCTTCGCTTGTTCCTTTGAGATTTCTCCGCGCGCATAGAAGATTACTTGAATGAGAGAATCTTGCGACGGCCGGGAAAAGACAATCGCCTAATGTGGTCGCTTTCTCGAGTACGTCGAATAACGCGCGGTCTTTTAATCTGATGAACGTCGGCACGCCTTTCATGTTGAAATTACAGTGAGTCAACCCTAGATAGCGAGGTTCCGCGCTCACTAATGCCGAGAGCCTTCTTACCTCTCGCCGAAGCTTGTGGCTCGGCAAAACGAGGGAACAAGGAGAAGGGAAAATAGCGCATGTTATGTTGCACCTCGTACGACAATTATCGATGCCAACTAGGGCTTCATTTAATTAATAAAGTGCATAGTAATGAAGAATAAAATGCTCGTCGCAACTGATGACACGAAACAGTATCTACACACACACACATGCACACACACACACACACGCGCGCGCGCGCGCGCACGCATACACGCATGCACACACGCACGCACGCACGCACGCACGCACGCACGCACGCACGCACGCACGCACGCACGAACTCACGCACGCACACACACACACAATATATATATATATATACATATATATATATATATATATATATATATATATACACATGATATACCACTGTCCCGTGTTGTATATAAGCTGGCACATCGCGTGAGGTTACATCCTCGCAGCGATAATGATCATCGGCTATTGTAAATGCGATAAATTGTAATCTTATCTATAAACACAGTTTTCTCTCACCTCGTCACCACCCCTCTCTCTATCTATCTATCTATCATTCAATCTATCTATTTATTTATTTATCTATCTATCTATTTATTTATCTATCTATCTATCTATCTATCTATCTATCTATCTATCTATCTATCTATCTATCTATCTATCTATCTATCCATCCATACATCCATCAATCTATCTATCTATCTATCTATCTATTTATTTATCTATCTATCTATCTATCTATCTATCTATCTATCTATTCATCTATTTATATATCTATCTATATATCTATCCATTTATCTATCTATCTATCTATCTATCTATCTATCTATCTATCTATCTATCTATCTATCTATCTATCTATCTATCTATCTATCTATTTATCTATCTATCTATCTATCTATTTATCTATCTGTCTGTCTCTCTGTCTGTGTGTGTCTGTCTGTCTGTGTGTCTTCTGTATGTCTGCCTATCTATTTATCTATATCTGGATCATCCATCCATCCATCCATCCATCCATCCATCCATCCATCCATCCAGTTTTTCTCCTTGTCTCTCCCCTTCAATCTTACCGCTTTTTTATTTCGCAAACACCAGTGTCTGCATAATCGGAGCTGTTTGCATTATTTAAGATGCTAAAATATTCCGGTCAGAGAACCTTGGATGTTTCATTGTTATCTTGCCCCTAGGCTGTTTTTCCTACGCGGTTAGTAACGATAGTGACTGTTTAATTAGATGACTGAAGTGTTTAACTCTAACTATAACATAGTTCGATATTTGTGCACCGTGCTCTGGGCGATAACCGGAGTAAAAAAGAACCAATACAGCATTTTAGGTATCGTCCGTGAAGGCTTACTCAGTAACAGTGAAAGCCGTATTATACCGTTTAAGTAGAATTCACTTGCATAATCCCATAAAAAAAATATAAAAAATCAACATGCACGACACTATTTCGAGCAACAGATGTAAAACACAGAGAGCACTCATTTTAGTCATCGTTTAGCTGCGTAGACTGACCGTGTTTCCAGAACGGTAGACGACAACATGCGTCCGTTCAGCCAACATTGCTCGATGGACGAAATCACGGCGGGACAGTCTAAAGGCGATGGTTGTTACTCTGGCGCGGACACGTCGACACGAAATGGAGAAACTTGTCACTTTGAACTGCCTGCGCTCTCTCGAGTGCATCTAGCTTTTTAACCGAGCTCACATCGGCCAAGCTATCTGGGGGATTTCATTGCCAAACCCAAACAAACTTAACGTTTCCGTCTCACCACGTGTATGTCCGCATTCCCCTTTGTGAAGTCGACTGCCAGCTGAGTCAACGAGAATCTAGTTCGCTAAGAATGCTAGGGATGCAGCAAACGCTGAAGCCAATATTGAACCGCAGCGCGCTTTCTGCATGCATTCGCAGCGCAGCTTTGCGCAGGGTCCGCAGGATTACGGCTCCGATCAACAAAGATCGTCTAATACTGCGTGCGTACTTAAATGACGATGCAATTACTGTCATTGCGCGCCGTTCGAATTGGCGACGAATCTTCTCTCTGTTTGTATGACGGCAACGTGCGGTGCACGGCGGTCACTAACTACCGAGATGAGCGCGCGGCGAAACTAGCACGGCGATATCGGAGCGTGACCATCGAGAGAAAGAAGCGCACAGCGGAGGAAAAAAAGCACGGGTTTCGTTAACGCGGTCGACGCGCTCGTTCGACAGTGATAGCTGATTGCGTGCGCGCGTTCGCTTATATGTGTATAGAAGGAGGAGGCGTGAGTAATTGATGCTCGGTGCGTGACAGAACGCTGCGTCGATCAGCACCCGCGGTGTGCTTCTCGTCATCGCGACTATACGTTGTCGTTCGTATGCGAGTTGGGCATCTTTTTTTCGACGAAACTAATTTCCGGATATAGGACGAAATCAGGCGTGATTACTACGTCCATGCACCCTCCTCCGATATCGGGCGGGATTAAAGATTGCCACGATAAGACGCCGTTAAGGAAGCACTCAATTTCAGTATAAGGGTTCTGTTCCGGACGCAATATATACGATATCTAGAGACTTCCCAGCAAGTATAGGAAATCAGCGTTGACAGACACAATCAGGTTTACAGGGTAAGCGCATGATGGCTGTTTGTCGTGTGCGTGTGGCGACCACGAATGGGAGTAACTTCTGTTATGTGCATCTTGGAAGTAGGAACGAGCGATGACATTCCAGCTACTTAGCTCGCAGGTACATGTACTCGTTACAGCAATGTATATGCTATAGAGATGTACTAATGTATATATACTGCCGATGATTACGTGCGCGCTGCATTCGCCATGTCGGCGAATAGACGTGCATCTATGTCTATATAACTTACATGGCTACGGAGCGCGGTGCCTGCTAGAAATGCTTGTGACACACACGGCTCACCTATACAAGCGCGCCGATTGAAATAGCGGTGCCTCGTGCGATGCATTATGGGGAAGTTCGTAAGAACAGCACAAAGAGAGGCAAATATCCGCAAAACGAGGTAGGTGTGTGTTCACGAGGCTGCGCTTTAAAGCAGCTGGATTTCACATTTGAAAGGTTTCGTCTCGCACGTTCTCTCGTTCTCTCTCCCTCTTTCCCCTCTCACTCGTTCTCTCTCCCTCTTCCCCCTCTCTCTCGTTCTCTTTCCCTCTTCCCCATCTCTCTCGCCCCCCATCTCTCTCTCTGCTGCGTGAAGTAGGGGTGGTAAGCCGATACGGCACGCGGGGGATGGAGGGAGGAGAGAGAAATCGAGTGTTGTCTGCGTCTAAAGCCTTTATTTGCCTCGCTATAGACAGCACGCGTGATTTCCGCTGACTGCCAGGAAGCCAGATTTGTGTTACCTAATGGGCGCTTACAAGAATGCAGAAAACCGATCGGATAAGTACACTAACTGATACCAGTGCCCGCCGCGTCGATATCAACCTATTTAGCCGCGAGCGAAATTAGACGGGCTGCCATTACTGCAGCGCCGAACGAGGAAGCCTGATTGCCCATGTGGGTGAAGAAGGCTTTTATCTCGTGGGTCGAGCCGGAACGTGGCGTCGCGATGACGTAGACGGCAACGCCCCGTCACTCTGTCATCATTACATTAAATACCCGCGTAGAAATAATCTTTCTAGCAGTGAAAACTGTAGCCCTCTTTATAGATAGCATACATGATATACTTATACATGCACACACACACGCACATACACACGCACACACACACACACACACACACACACACACACA